TCGCCGCCACCGTGGCCACGAAAATCTAGCTGGCCCTAGGATTTTTGAAACCCTAAGAGCATATTTTGTAAATTTGTTTTTTTTTATTTTTTTCTTTTCTAAAAATTCAAGAAAAATATTATTTTACAATAGATAATTATTTAATAATAATAATAATATCTTTAAAAAATTAAAAATATTTTTTATAATATTTCTTTAAAAACTTTAGATTTTTTTGTTGTAGGGTCCACTCGATTCATAATCAAGTTATTTTTGGGATTTAAAAAAAATAGTTCTTAGGCTTTTGGAAGTCTAAAAAAATTATTTTAAACACCAGAAAATGTAATTATAAAAATTCTTGTAGTCTTGGAGACTTGTGATGGGTAGCTGTTTTAATGGGAGCGCCCGGGGCACTGTACCAATTTCACGAGAAACGAAATACCTTAACAAAATTGACAAGATTAAAATAGGATAGTTAAATAAAATTTATGAAATTTTTATTTATGTTTGTCATGCTGCATGTTTAGATGCGAACTGAAACATAAACAAATCACTTCAAGTGGAAGACTTTGGGGTAGAGATGTGACTATGATTGAACTATCTAATCATTTTTAAAAATTTTATAACTATTTTAAAAAATTATATCTTTGAACGTTATGGTTGGGGCCCTAGACTTTTTTCTCTCTGTTTAGGATGTACTTTTATTATCAAAATAAAATGCTTGTAGAGATGGAATAAACTCTTGGGAAGAACAATACTCCAATCAAATGCCAATTATCTTAACTTATCTGAAATTTGAGTGTCTTAGTCCTTCTCATAAAGAGGCACCAATATATTTTCGACTTTAGTCTAGACAAATCAATGGTAGATACTTTATATCGGCGATCCAGAGTCTCTTGATTGAGTAGGAGATTTTAGCAAATACTGAGGCGGTGATGTCCGACTCAGAACAGGGTTCAACTCGGACTCAATGATTCAAGACCGGTTAGTATAAGATTCGGAAATAAAAAGATCTGGATGGACTGCAATGAGGATTGATTTCATCAGGAAGTTTGAGGATTATTTGAATGCAAAGGGCCTCAGGGATACTCTTAATGCGTGATTCGAATATATCTCTCCATTGAGAATCTGAGTTCTTATTATGAAGTTGGTTTCAAATGATATGTTTGCTGGGCAGAGTGTCAAATTCACCTTTGGATGACAACCTTTATGATCAGGGATCATGAGATAGCTGGAACTGTGTCTTGGAGCCGTAGATCCGGACAGTTATCATGGCTTTACAAAACCCCTAGAAAGACATGTATTACTTTTGTTGCATGTCACAGACACGACAAATGAAAGTGACTTTGGAGTCTAAACACCAGGGTGTGCTCAAGGCTAATATGTCTACTTTGATTTAAGTAGTTGAATACCCGATGCGCATGGATAAGAGCCTAGTTGTAGCATGTACGCTAGGAGATTTTCAAAATAGATTCTGAAATAGAAGAAGTAAATTAAAAGTGTGAAGAAACCAACAAATAAGAGCAAGGCCGATTATTTTGACTGCAAGCAAGCTGATCATTTCATGCATGAGGGTGCACAACTGAGAAAACGCCAGACTCATTAACTATATTTGTAGCGTAGAGAATTGTTTGTTGAGTTTAAACGACTCCAAATAGGAGTAGAAAGATCTAGTGGGAGAATACGTATTGGTGTCAGGCACCGATGCATAAAGATTTTCTCTAAGTTCAGGGAATAAATAGATCTTGTGATACTCCCACTATAAATGTAGAATCATCTCGGTAGTTAGACTTGCAGGATTTATGTTAGTTTCACATATGTGGGTGACTTTTATATATTTACTTTTTGGATTCTCTGCTTAGAATAGGACGTCAAACTAATCTCTTAGTTGATTTTAAATTGTGTCTGATTATAAGATAATGGGGTTTATCTTCTACTTTGTCTTATACCGTGAATTAAGATTGAATCTAATTTATGGTATTATAAACTAGGTCACATTAAAGGATACATGTAGGCTCGCTAGAGGCGACCTCCTAGGCATATGTACCGAGATGTATCTATCCATAAATGAGTATAGTCTTGTTGATAAAATCACTAGGAAATCTTTTAGTAAGGCCAAGAACAAATTCGTTATAATTAGTACACTATTATACATGCAAATTGATATTTATGAAGATACAAAGTGGATCACCTTATTTCCTCACATTTATAGGTTATTACTCTATCAGTGGTGATGTGTATTGGATTTTGTACCTAACAAAGCGCTTGGATTTGTTTTAAGCGCTAAATCAGCAAGGTGATAAATCAGTTAAGCAAAAGCATTATAGCGTTGTGCACTAATTGCGAGATTAGGGTAACTATCTGACCAATTCAGGAAACTGTGTTAAGAGAAAAGAAAAGTCAAATAGTTGATGATAATCTATATTTTGCAATAAAATATTGTTACGAAAGAGAGAAATACGACTCTACTAGACGTAGCACTGAATAATTTTCCATTTAGTTTTAGGAAGATGGGCTACTAATAGCGGCATATTTTCTAAATTGTATGCCTTCTAGATCAGTATAGTATACACCATATGAGTCATGGACAGCCGAGGGTCGGTGTTGGATCACCGTGTCCATGTGGCCGCATTATTCACATACACACTATTTCTTATTAGTATGAGAAGTTAGACCCCAGAGGAAGGAAGTGTATATCGATACACTAATTTCAGGGTGTGTTTACATGTGAACAATATGAGGAGGCTATGACTAAAAGAGTTGCGGATATTGAGTTCCTTAGG